TGTGGATAGAGTAGTAATTAATGATGCAATGCTATGCAAACTATTTCACATATACAAAATTTGATTACAACTCATAGTATCAATAAACGAGCAGTATAGACTCCACAATCATAAATTTCTGGATAGTTCCAGAGATATTTAAAAATCAAATCACTTTATCTACACCATACTCCATCATATTACTAGTTCTTCCATCTCAGCAGTTTCTTCCTATAGTTGTTAAGTTTTTTTTGTCAACTTGATTGGAAACTTTTGCGTCTTCTTAACAGTCAAGATTCTCAGTAGTTTAGCAGTTAAGATGTATACATCCCTCATGATGTAATCTAATACAATGTAATTACTCTCATGAACTTCTCTGATGTGGTCAGCCACAGCAGATGTAATTTTTTTATGTACTGTAATACCTCACTCTATGATGTTAATGAGGCTAGATGAAATCTATAGGATTAGTTAGTATCTTGAATCAACCTCTTTTAAGATATAAGAGATTAAACCCTGAGAGGGATCTACTGCCACCAAGAAAGAAGAGCCAGGAGTGGAATGCATCCTTTGGACCTGGGGTCTGTACACTGTGAAGATCCTTGATCCATCCAAGGAAATAGTGATGATGAGACACATGGAGATCTCCAAGGAATGCTGGGCCTATAGATGATCAGAGTAGACAAGGAAGGAACTTTCACTGTAGCTGACACACTCTACTGGGACTTCTAACCTTTTAAACAGTGAAAAAATAAATTTCTGTTTGTTAAAACCATCCACTTGTGTTATTCTGTTATATTGGCATTAGATAATGAAGATACATTCCAACTTGTATTCATTTTATCTACACCTTGGATCACATTTTCCCCCATAATTTGAATTGAATGCTAGTATTTTGTTAGCTCAAATGCTCTTCTCTACTCAAAGACTGAATTCTAAAGCTGAATCACCTGTGTGTGCTTCCTTAAAGTCTTATTCTTGATAAAGTACAAATATATCACTAATAGTTTAGTGCTCACTAAGGGAACACTCCCTGTGTGTTATATGAGATGTTGAAATCTACTATTTGTACAATTTAAAAACTCCTGTTTTCTTTAAACTGCTTTCTTTATTTACAACTTTGCAAACCTTTCCTGATTTTCAGTTTAAAATTTAAGTTTATTTCCTATGTTAGTGCAGAAGATAAGGATGTTTTTAATAAGAAATATGTTGTGTAAAACATATATGTTAGATCCAAAATACATGCGGAGGCATGGCATCATCACAAATATTTTCAATCTGCTCAATTAAGATTGAAAAACACTTCAACATCTTTTTATTAATACCACTAAATATAAAAAGTATTTGCTTTATACTAAATAGTTTATCCAAGTTTTGCTTGCTTTCATTGTGACTCAGTTTTGTCATCTATAAAATGTTGAAGCTTGCATGTTTACTCTATAAAATACTAAAGAAGTATTTAACTGATGTATATGAATCATTGAATGGAAAACCAATAGTCTCTATTAACTTTCACCCAAATCACAATAGAAAAATTTAAAGTACCTGACAGATCATACTTTAAATTTTTTTCATCATTCATACAATCTTCAGTACACTGCAATCATATTTTTTATTCCAAGAACTATAAAAAAACTTTTTATTCAAAAATTTCTCAAACATTTCCTTTTTAAGTGTAGGAGATTTCTAAGTAGAACATGTATTTTTTACCATGTACAATCTCTCATAACTTGCATTAATAAAACATTCATTATTTTTGTCACCTTTTTGCATTTCCTTTGGACATGTTATCAGGAAAGACTAGTCCCTAGAGACTACCATGTTTGTTGAAGAAGGGTTATCAACACAAGAAAGACCCTCAATGAGACGGATTGACACAGTGACTGCAAGAATGTGTTCAACATGGCAATGATGATGAGGATGGATCAGGACACTCTATAGGGTTACTGTGAGTGGGAACATACTCAAAGACACCTTACAACAACAATAATTTCTAGACATTTAGTAACTTTTTTGCCCCAACTAAGTTGATCATTGTTATCTTTATTCTTACTATATTTTTTCTTCCTAACATATTCACTGTCTTTTCAAAATTTCTTGAACTCTGAATCTCTGAAAATAGATTGTTCTTCAGACTATCAATTATATAACCAAATGTTATAAAGTCCAAAATGCAAAGCTCAAACATATTAAGCCTAGAATGGAACTCTCGATTTTCACCACTCCTATCCAATTTCTTCTTTGTGTTCTTTATAATAAAAGACATATTTTATATTAGTTGTAACTTTACTATATTGCATAAATGCATTTATGCTAGATATTCAAATAAACACATTTTATGACATATTTTTCTACTCTCCAACTTTATGTTTTCCCACAATATCCTTGTGTTCAGTATACAATGACAACTTAGGATACATATTCTAGGCCACTGGGTTTTAGTTTGTAGTTTCCAAAATTTTTGTGTGGGAGTTATCACTTCTTAATGCCATAACATGCATTGCTACTTTAAAAAATCTACAAGTTTCAAGCATCCTAAAAATGATGTTACATTTATATCTATATTAGAACTCACATTTAAAAATTTTACACAACTAAGGAAATTCATTCATTAGAAATAATTATGATCCAAGTCTCAAAAGGGGAAATGTAACCAAAATGATAGAATGTACTGTACTCACCCTTTTAGCAGTTAGTCATAGCTTCCTTTTGTAGGATTAGCATTAGACTGTGAATCACAAGGTTGGCATTTCAAACTCACAAGCTGCTTCTTAGAAACCTTGTATAGGTTTACTATGAGTCAGAATCGACTTGATGGTACATAGCAACAACAACAACAACAACAAATTTTTACAGTTACAATTTGAACATGAATGTATTTTTAAAACAACATGAGGATATCTGGTCACTAGTCATTTTATCTGCTCACTCTGCAAATTAGAACAGCCTGTCAAATACATAATTCACTTGAATATTTTATCAACTGCTAAGTATGTTGTATATATAGAGGCTAACCAAATGCAATCAATTGTATGACATTTCTTGGAACAAATGTCATATGTTCACTGGTACAGAAAATACAGTTTTAAAATCTCATCACTAAAAAGAGAAGTCTAGTTCAAAGAAACTCCTACTAGCTTTGGAAGAGTCGATCCTATGAATTTTCTTTAGTTACAGAAAGATTTTCAAATGTCAAGTCTGTTTGTTTTTTTGCCAAATATACAACAACCTTAATAAACAAAACGGTCCTGAGTGACCAGTTTCATAAATCACTAATGAATCATCTGTGTAATGAACTTTGGGGAAACAAATTAAACTTAACAAAGTAACAGTGGGGGACATAACCTGGAGAGGCAAGAGACAGCATCAAAAACACTTGAAACAGACAAGCAATAAAAAAACAATAAAAATATAATATAAAATAACAAAGCAAGAAAGTATTGTCCAGTGTTTTGTCTTTAAATTCATTTTTATAATATGAGTCAGCTGAAAAGTGACATTTATATTCTTCTTTGCCAAGATTTCATAATATGAGTAATTGAAAAATCTTAAAGCATTGGATAGTTAAGCAAAAAGAGAAAAATAATGTAAAAGCAAGGAAAATGGCTTAAAGTAGATCTATGAAAATCTAATTTTTATGAGCATACCTTCCATAGTTTTTATTTTCAAAATGTGCCCATATATGTAACATGTAGTAGTTGGAAGTAATGAACTTTAATTATAAATGTATTTATATATTGAGCTATATAAGGGATCTTTAAAAAGTTCATGGAATAATTCCCTTGTCTTTTAATTCCACTTTTCCATATACATTTACAAACTTCTTCATGGAACCATTTTAACCTTAAATATATATGAACCTATAAAGCCCAGTTAATACCATTAGTATTCAAATTTATGCAACAACCACTGAAGACAGTGGGGAAGAAATAGAAGAATTCTACCAATTTCTTCAATCTGAAATTAATCAAACATGCAATCAAGATATATTGATTATTACTGGTGATTGCTGTGAAGTGGTTGGGAGCAAAGAGGAAGGATCAATAGTTGGAAAACATGGCCTTAGTGATATAAATGATGCTGGAGAATGCATGATAGAATTCTGTAAAATCAATGATTTGTTTGGTTCAAATACCTTCTTTAGACAGCATAAGAGACAACTATACACATGGACCTCACCAGATGGAATACATAGAAATCAAATTGACTACATCTTCAAACAGAGACGATGAAAAAGCTCCATATCATCAGTGAGAACAAGGTCAGGGGCAGACTGTGGAACAGCGCATCAATTACTCAAAGGCAAATTCAAACTGAAGCTGAAGAGAATGAAAACAAGTCCATGAGAGCCAAAATATGACCTTGAATCTATCCCACCAGAATTTAGAGATCATCTGAAGAACAGATTTAATACATTAGACACTAAAGACCGAAGACCAGAAGAGTTGTGGGATGACATCAAGAAAATCATGCAGGAAGAAAAAAAAAGTCATTAAGAAGACAAGAATGAAGGAAAAGATCAAAATGGTTGCCTCAAGAGACACTGAAACTTGCTCTCCAGTGCAGAGTGTTAGAGCAAATGGAAGAAATGAGGAGGTCCAAGACCTGAACAGAAACTTAAAAAGGTCAGCACAAGCAGACAAAGTCAAATATTACAACAAAATGTGCAACAATCTGGAGTCAGAAAACCAAAAGTGAAGA